AGCCTCGACCTCCTGGGCTCAGGTGATCCTCCTGCCTCAGCCTTCCACGTAGCTGGGATGATAGGCGCACACCACCATGCTTGGCTAATTTTTTGATGTATTGTAGAGATGAGGTCTCGCTATAGTGCCCAGGCTGGTCTTGAACTCCTGGGCACAAGCGATCCTCTCACCTTGGCCCCCCAAAGTGCTGGGATTACAGGCATGAGCCACCACGACTGATAATACCTGTACCTTGTAGTATGATGAAGAGGGGTTGATGAGGTGACACAAATAAAGTGCCCCCATCAAGTCCAGCCCAGAGTAAATGGTAGCAGCCACTGTACTAATTATGGTAATGATGGCAGCATGCACATACATAGCAGGTGGCCCAGTCAGGAGCTGTGCCACATGCCTTCTGCCTGTTACACACACACACAGGCCTGTAATGTGGACCAGTTAGTCACCATGGGTGGCAGGCTTTGTCATATTCATGGGCACGACCAGGCTCAGAGCAGTGGACTGACCTGGCCAGGGTCACCTGCGTCAGTCTGCACTGTGGTCAGGGCTGGAGTGTCAGGGTCTTGCTCCCAGCCACCAGCCTGGGGGTCTAGGGTGTCAGAAGCCATGCTTTCTCCCCGCCCACCCTGCCCAGCCTCAGCCCCTTACTTTCAAAGAACAGCACTCCCAAATCCGTTTGCCGAGTCCCACGGTCCCGAGCGGGCCCCCGACTGGACCCCAGTGGCTGGCCATCTCCACGGCGCCAGGTGACCGTTGGGGGCAGGCGGCCTATAGCATGGCATGCCAGGAGGGCACTCCTTCCCAGCTCTACAGTGACATCTCGGGGTGGCTCTCTCAGTTGGGTCACATCCGGAGGGAGGTGACAGGGTCAGTAACGTCCGGCAGCTGGACCTGCTGTGCCCCAGGGGACAGCCTCCCTCCCCACCTCCGGTTGCTGGGAACTCCCCTCTTCCACCTTTGCCTTCGTGAATGTGGGGGCTGACTCCTGTCCAGGGCTCAGGGCCAGTCTGAGCTTAACGGGCTTTATGCCTGGAGGGCTCTCAGGACGAGATGTGGGGAGCAGACTTCGATTGGAGAGAGGGTGACCTCGTAACCCTGCATGGGATCTCAGGGGCATGGCTGTACCCCATTCAGACAGGGGAGCAACATACCCACTCCTGGTTGCACCACCTCCAGGAAGTCCCCTCCAAGGGACTCCAGGGCACCCACTACTTTGACAGAGGCATGCCAGGAGGATTGGAGGTGAGCCCTTGCCTCTTGGACTCCCTCTCCTCCTTTCCCTCCTCCTGGGTCTTAGGGGGCTTTCTTCCCCTTGGAGGCGTCTAGACTTCCCACCCATGTGCTTAACCCCTGGCTTGGGTCAGGCCTGCCTCTGCAGAGGGACCACGGCCAGCTGGGCCAGTGGCCATGGGATGGAGGGCTGAGGGCAGGGTTGGCTGCCCCTTCTGCTTCCATCACTCCAAAGGGCCAATGTCGTGGGGCAATTGCAGGTCTTCTTTACTTTGTCTCCATGAGTCAAATTTTTGATAATAACTCATTGTCCATCTTTCCACTACGTTGTTAACCCATCCGTTTTTGCCCATGTGACGACTCTGAGGCATGTTTAAAGGGCTTTCTTTCGCTTGGTCGTGGGTTACAGATCTTGTTTTTAGGGTTAGGATTTGTGACTAATACCTGGTAAAAAGAAGTTTCTGATTCTGTTTAGGCAAAGAATTGTTTTGAATATTTTTGTAGTTATGGTGTTTGAATACAAGGCATAAGATTTAAGTGTAGTGAAAGTTTATATTAAGGTAGATGTAGGTGATTTATTTGTTGTTGTTTTTTTTTGAGTTGGAGTCTCACTCTGTCATCCAGACTGGAGTGCAGTGGCTGCTCTCGGCCACCGCAGCCTAGACCTGCTGGGATACGGCGATCCTTCCACCTCAGCCTTCCAAGTAGCTGGAATTACAGGCACGCACTGCCATGCCCAGCTAATTTTTTTTTTTTTTATTGTAGAGATGAGGTCTCGCCAAGTTGCCCAGGCGGGTCTCGAACCCGCGGGCTCAGGCAATCCTCTCACCTCAGCCTCCCAAAGAACTGGGATTATAGGCTGAGCCACCGAGCCCGGCTGATGTAGGTGATTTATAAGTTTGTTATGAGATACATATTAAAGTTATAGTATATAAAAAGTTAAGGGGTTTAGATGTAGAATTTAAGTGAGTAAAACGGGTTTTATCTAACAACCGAAACTACCTTGAAGCCTGAATAACATCACTAGAAGTTTCTTCTATGCTGTTTTTTCCTTAGAGATAGGATATTCCAGATAGAAAAACAATAAAGGAATTTGAATAAGAAAAAACTACCAAGGGGCTTGAAAGACCAGAAAGTTTTCAAGAAGAAACTCCTTGTCCATGAGAAAAAAAAATCTGCCAGGCACTTCTAGAAAATCTCCAGGTGCATATTATTCCGTCAGATGGAAATATTCTGCATATGAACTGCTCCAAAACCCTGGGCCAGAAACTGTCGTTCTGGCCCCCAGAGACATTATTAGGGAAAAACCTGTTTCCCTGGATAATTTGAAATAGGAAGTTAAGTTTATAAAGAGTGTTAAACCCAGAATTCAAATCCGAGAGAGAACACGAAGAGCCAGCTCCGATGCAAACACACAAGGGTCTTTATTCAGGCTCAAGTCTGGGCTCACATATGAAGCTGGTAGTGGCTTCAGGGACGAGAGCCTAGATCCAGTATGGCAAGCAGTTTTT